CGTAAAGAGGGTCCACAATGATATTGTTCTGCACTGTTTGTAAATTCATCATCACATCACTGTTACTTACAATGCTGTAGAAAGGATTTTCAAACAGTGCAGAACCTGTCTCTTATACACATCTAGATGTGTATTATTAGCAATGCCTCAACTTTTTTACCTATTTTTTTGCAAAATAGTCAACTCATCTTATTCATCAGGAATTTTTCACTGACGACTTAAAGGTCGGAGTCATAAGACATATTTTGAAGAAACCCAACATGAATCATAATGATCTTGCTAACTTTCGTCCAATTTCAAGTATTGCTTTCCTCTCAAAACTCATTGAGAAGTGTGTAGCTCAGCAAATCATCCATTCCCTTAACGAAAATAATTTATTTGACCCCTTGCAATCTGCTTACAGAAAGTATTACAGCACCGAAACGGCAATAGTTAACATTCACAATGATATTATGGCTGATCTCAATAGGGGTTGCGTAATTCTTGCTGTTTTCCTTGATCTCAGTGCCGTTTTTGACACTATCGATCATCCCATTCTTATTCATAGACTATCATCTTTTGGCATCTGCGGAACAGCCCTGTCATGGTTTAAAGCATATCTCATCTCTAGGAAACATCAGGTTCGAATTGGATTAGTTCTTCGGCTTGTACTGACAAAATCTGTGGTGTCCCCCAGAGGTCTATATTGGTACCAATATTATTTTTATTGTATGTCTCCTCACTGAGTACACTTATTAGTAGTCACGGTGTTCAGTATCATGCATACACCGATGATACTCAACTTTATATTTGCTTTCAAGTTAATCATTAGTTTTAGGCAAAAAATACAATTTATTGAAGCATGTCTTAGAGATGTACAAGCCTGGTTATCACAAAATATGCTCTGCTTCAATCCCGATAAGACTAAAGTACTATGTATTAATTCATTTAAAGTACCTTTCAACAACGCCTGATGGGAAAACACATATCCAACAATTGCAAGTCCGTTACGTTTCACCTTCGTAACATCAGGCACATTAAAAGGCTCCTGACCAATGATGCTCTTCTTAAATTAGTGCATGCTTTTATTACATCTCGGTTGGATTACTGGTAATGCTGTTCTCTGTGGTATACCTGATAGTCGGTTGACAGGATTGCAGCTATGTCTTAACACAGCAGCCCGGGTGTTGACGTGAGCACATTACACCTATCCTCAATAGACTACATTGGTTACCGATAAACAAGCGCATCTCATTGAAGATTTTACTTCTAACATACAAGGCCCTCAACCATAATGGTCTACATTACATTGTTCAACTATTGAAGTCTCGTTCTGCAACATGTTCTCGGTCTCTGAGATAAAACTTAATCTCTGTAGTTAAATTTCTGTAGTTAAGTTGTTCTGTTGTTAAGTTTTTTCCCCTGAAAAGTCGCACCTCCTTACTTGCGGTAGCGCCGCGCCAACTTAGCGGTGCACGGTAGGGGAGCCATAGGCTCAGGGACGTATCCAGGGGGAGCCGTGGGATTGCAGGTGAGAATCCCCCTAATAGAAAGTAGCGCCCTCTTAAATTTGTTAGGGCTGTTCTGAGATAATAAAGTGAAAATTGCAATAAGCAACGCATTATAAATAATATTAGTAAGCCTAACAATAATTATATAAAACTCAACAGTGGTGGATCTAGGAATTCAACAGAGAGGTGACCCAAGGAGGGACTTTTACAGTTTGAAGAACCACCCACCTCAGCCCCATCATGATTGGGGCTGAGGTAAGAAAATTCATTTATTAGGGCACTTCTAGAAGCCCGGAAATTACACTCTCAGACTTAAATTTGGATAGGTGGCATATATATATATATATATATATATTTTTTTCATTATAAAAATTTAGGGGCCTTCAATCCAGCACTGCTCAAAACATTCTTTATCCAAAATAATTATAATCACGAAAAATGGCCATGTAAAACCAGATCACATCCTAAAAACAAATTTATGCACTCCCGCCTCATCAGCAGTCACAAAGACATACTCTGAGACAGATTTCGACTCGATAGAGTTTAATGTGGAAATAGTACCAGGCCTCTAGACTGTCTCTTATACACATCTAGATGTGTATAAGAGACAGGTATAACCGAATTTGTCGGATAGAAAAAGGGAAATGTCGTGTTCTTGAACGAAAATGGGTCAAGTCACGGAGCCCAGAAGATTGTGCTGCATTCATAAAACAATGTGCAACATACCATTCCATTCTGCATAAGTCTAGATCCAGTTACATTCAAGCAGAAATTGAGAAACGTGGTGGTAACCAACGCCTCCTTTTAGAAATCATCAACAAACTTCGTGGTAAAATTAATGAAAGCATTTTGCCGTCAGCCGCTTCATAGTTCGAACTGGCTGAAAAATTTAACAGATTTTTTCATGACAAGATTCAGAATATTCGGACATCACTACCAGACATGTCAGACACTGCCCCATATGAAGTGCTCGAACATCAACAACACGATATTGAGTTTGATCAATTCGCTCTATTAGATGAAGAAGAAATATTAACAACTCTTATAACAGTTTCATCAAAAACATGTCACCTTGATCCCTTTCCTACCGAATTAATTATTAGCAATGCCTCAACTTTTTTACCTATTTTTTTGCAAAATAGTCAACTCATCTTATTCATCAGGAATTTTTCACTGACGACTTAAAGGTCGGAGTCATAAGACATATTTTGAAGAAACCCAACATGAATCATAATGATCTTGCTAACTTTCGTCCAATTTCAAGTATTGCTTTCCTCTCAAAACTCATTGAGAAGTGTGTAGCTCAGCAAATCATCCATTCCTTAACGAAAATAATTTATTTGACCCCTTGCAATCTGCTTACAGAAAGTATTA